ATGAAGGGATCGCTCTGAATCCTTCTCCTGGGGAAATCCCGATGTCCAAGAGGGAGAAGCGTCCTCCCCGTGCCACGTCGGTGCTTAAAAACCCTCTTCGGTGTGCGCTCCCTGTTCTGCCTCTGGGTTAATTCCGTTTTTCCCGAGATAAAATGCGTGTTTCCGAGTGGGAAATCAGAGCCAGCTGAGGGCTTTTACGTGGGAAGGGATCGCTCTGAATCCTTCTCCTGGGGAAATCCCGATGTCCAAGAGGGAGAAGCGTCCTCCCCGTGCCACGTCGGTGCTTAAAAACCCTCTTCGGTGTGCGCTCCCTGTTCTGCCTCTGGGTTAATTCCGTTTTTCCCGAGATAAAATGCGTGTTTCCGAGTGGGAAATCAGAGCCAGCTGAGGGCTTTTACGTGGGACGCGTGGGTTTGGAAGCCTGGCTGCGGTGGGAACAGAAGTTAAAGTGACATCAGAGGTGCAGGTAGAGGAGAAGGAGGGGTAAACAGCGTGGCGTCGCGTCACCTCGTTAAAAAGACACCGGGAAATTAAAAAGAGGATTCTTGGCTGCATGAAAAGGCATCAAAGCAGGAGGGAGAAGAGCGCGATTGTCCGGAGCGTCTCAGGTCCCGGGGGAGAAGAGGAGCTGCTCGACGCCGAGCTCGCTGTGTGCGTGCTGGGAAACCCCCTGGCTTTGCTTTTCTCCTTATTTTCCCCCTCTTCCTCTCGATCGTTCGCAAAGCAAAGACACGGGGCTCCTCCTGGATTTGGGTACGGACGCACGGCCTCCCGCCGCAGAAACAGGTTTGATTTTAATTCTCGTGCCACGAGAACAGACCGAAGGCGGGGTGCGAGCGCCAGGTTTGAGAGCCCCTCACAAGCTGGATGGGGAGGTCTTCGGGGCAGAAAGCAGAGCTTGTTCCTTGCAGGAGAGAACAGCCTCATCTCCTGTGATTCATCCCTCGGATTCCCAGTGGGAAATGGGGAGTAAGAGGCGTTTTTCCTTGCCAGAACTGGGAGGATACACACTGGGAAGAGTGTACTGGGGACGTGGTGGCCTGGCACTGGTTGGAGTCCCTTTTTTCCGCTGTGTTCCCAGTGCTGTCCAACCTAGAAAGGGCTTTTTTGGTGGGTCTGGACCTCTTCCCAGCGCGCTCACTGCAGCGTTGCCGTTCTTCAGCTCCTCCTGCAGCGCAAGTCCCCGATGCCCGTGCCCGGGGGGGAGGTCGACAGCACCCCCGGACCAGAGCACGGGGCCCTGTGCTTCCCACAAGGCTTCGTCGCTGCTCCACTCTGGGATCAGAGCAAGCGAGCGGGATGGGATCATCCAAGGGATCAGCGGAGATCCCCGCCCTGGTCTCCCCAAAGTGAAATAGGAGGAGGAACTGCTCAGCCTTCTCCGGGGAGCTGGACCCAACCAGGGGCACCAGCTCAGCAGATGCTTGGCCAGGAATGAGAGAGGAGCGGGATGCCCTGGTGCTAACGAAGCAAACCCAGGGGGTCAGGGGGGGTTCCCCGGCCCAAGATTCCTGCTTGGTCCCCCATCCCGTGGCGCCAAAAGCCACTCGGAGCTGCCAAACCACAGGAGCCAGGAGCATCCGCGGCCAAACCGGCCCCCGAGTGACGCTCCGGGTGCGGAACCCCGCGGGGGAAGACTCCGCTGGCCCAGGGCCGAAGGCTTTTAGCCCATTTTGCAGGCACTGGATGCTGCCTCCAGCAGCCGGTAGCGCTGGGAAGGCAGAAACACCGGGCTGAGAAGGCGAGGAGAGGACTTCCCTCATGGTCAGTGGCGTGAAACCAGCAGAGCTCTTGCAGAGCTCAGCTCAGGAGCGATGGGACCAGCGGAGCACTCGGCTATCCGGAGGGACTCGTTTCCTCCCGGGATGCCTGCCGGGGCG